TAAGTGTGCAACTCGGTTTAAACGCCATGTAATGCAAAATTATTTGCTGTGTCACCAAACTACTTGCTGTGTCAGCAAACTATTTGCTGTGTCACCAAAATTATTTGCCGTGCCAGCAAAATTGTTTGCTTTGTCAGCATAATTATTTGTTCTGTCAGCAAAATTGTTTGCTGTGTCAGCAAAGTTATTTATTATGTCAGCAAAAATTTTTGCCGGGTCAGCAAAATTATTTGCTGTGTCAGCAAAAGTATTAAACTTCATCACCTGCAACAGGTGGTCGCGGTGACATGACGCTCTGCCCCCCCGCACGCGGCCCGTGTGGTAGAAACTGGTTTGTTCGCTGAGCGATTAGCGAAGCCCATTACTCCACTGACCCGTAAAGTTTCATTCTGTTTGTGTGTGTTTGTCTGTCTGTCCGCACGATAACTCGAGAATGAATTGAGATAGCGATCTGTGAATTTTAGGGTCGTTTTGTGTCACAAAAAGACAGATCGAGTTCGAAGATGAGCATTCTAGCTCAAAAATTTACTTTTTAAAAAATCGAAAACCGCAGGTTGCAAAATGTATTTTTTTCAAATATTTGTTTATGGGTTCCTAAGGGGTAACTCGTCATAGTATAGCCCTGTGGGCAAAAATTTCAACCGTTTTGATCTATCTTGTACCGTTTCGGCGCTATGGGGCATTTCTTGGCGAAAAAAACGTGAAAAAGTCAAAATGGTCCATTAAATCGTAAAAAGGCTGCATGTCACAGAATTGTAAAGGAAGTAATACTTAAACCACAGGTCGCACTACACCCTCTTTTGGGCATAAGGGTCCCTAGATTACCTAGTATCTCTAAAACGTTGATTTTTACATAACAATCTGTCAAAATTCAAACTTTTAATGAAAACCGTTACCGAACAGCAGAAGTTTCATGTCCCTAATTTAAGAGTATAAAGGCCCCGACAAATGGTTTGAGTATGTCAAATTTTGGCCCCGGAAGGCCCTGTTCCCCAATACCCTCTCCTTAAGGGGGCATCCTAGTGAAGCGGGCCTAAACTAAGGGTGATTTGCGTAATTAATTTTAGAGAACCCATAGTTTTAAAAACAAAACCCGAGTATACCGTTTTGTAGCGCATACTTTTGACTTTAGAACGCAATGTGTATGACGTCGATACGCCTACCCAAAGTTGAGATATCCCCTGTTGAAAACGGCACTGCAGCTTTGTCGTCTTGTCATGGTGTACCTATTTAAAGTCGAGCCGTTGGTCTCACACAGTCCAACAAAGAATTTTTAGACTCTGCATGAACGTAGTTATGGCATGAACTAGGATATTTGCGATCGGATAATTTTTACTATTTTTTCGAGCAGCTTAAAGTTGACATATCGAAAAAAAGCTAAAACTCTCATAGTTTTGATTTTTTTTTCGGGATGAAGGAGGTGACCGATCCCAGATATCCTAGTTCATGTCATACCTACAAGTGTTAGGAACATCCACAAAAAATCGGAACCTCAACGGCCCAACGGCGTGGCCGGAATCCGGTACACCATGAAAAGACGACAACGCTGCAGTGCCGTTTTCAACAGGGGACATCTCAACTTTGGGTAGGCGTATCGACGTCATACACATTGCGTTTTAAAGTCAAAAGTATGCGCTACAAAACGGTATACGCGGTTTTGTTCTAAAAACTATGGGTTCTCTAAAATTAATTACGCAAATCACCCCTATTTTAGGCTCGCTACACTAGGATGCCCCCTTAACTCGTCTCGGGGGTCAGCGCCGCAGGCCTAGCTATATGTGCGCCAGGCGCGTCGCAGCGCAACAGTGTTTCGTGAGATATCGCGAAGCCTGTTACGCGAGACGTGGTCTGGCGTACATATAGCTAGTTTAAAAAGTCATCAAAAACAAAATGGTGCCCAATAGTCCACTATCAACAATGCATTGACAACAAACGAAGTTGTTTTTCAACAACTTCTGTTGTTCCCGAACAACTGAGCTGTTTTTCAACAACTAATTACAGTGCCGGCCGATTTTCGAAGAAAGTGTCTTGGGGAACAGGCCTAACCAAAGTCCACTGACTCCCCAATTGCACATTTGCGGCGTTTGATGGCGTGGCAGTTAAAGGACAATTTGCCGCACCTATAACGATGCGGCAAAAATTGAGGGCGTTCCTTTCCCAGCAGTTCAAAAGCCTCAAAGATCTCCTGGGCGCAGAAGAAATCGCGGAGGTCAGTTAGTTAGTCCTGATTGGCTGAGCGATTAGCGAAGCCTATTCCTCCGTCTGGTCGGAAAAAACTTTTTCTGTCTGTGTGTGTGTGTCTGTCCGCACGATAACTCGAGAACGAATTGAGCGAGCGACCTGGGATTTTCAGGGTCGTTTTGTGTCATAAAAAGACAGATCGAGTTCGAAGATAGGCATTCTAGCTCAAAAATTGGATTTTTAAAATATCAAAAAAACGGGTCCCAAAAATGACATTTTTTGGAAATATTTTTTTGTGGTTTCCTAGGGGGTAACTTATGAAAGTAGAGCCCAATGGTTGAAAATTTTGTCTGTTTTGCCCTAGCTCAAACCGTTGAGGCGCGAAGGTAATTTTGACCAAATAAGCGATAAAATGTACAACCCTGCATGCTTTGTCGAAGTGATGGGTCAAAGGCCCGTCTTATTGCGTACATATTGCCACTACCCGACTCGGGTTTCAGCGCATGTATGCCAGGCGCGTCGCAGCGTAACAGTGTTTCGTGAGATATCGCAAATCCTGTTACGTGAGACGTGGTCTGGCGCACATCTACCTTGTTAAAATTGTGCTTGTACTGAATACAGTGTTCTTACAATTTCCTTTTTGATTTAGAGCAACGCCCGTGCGCGTCTGCTGTGTGCAGAGCAGGCGGATAGCGTGCAGAGGCAAGCAGCTGTGGCTGCTGCTGCTCCCGTTCTTGATCCTGCTACCCCTGACCCTCCTTCACCTCCCCCAAACGCGCCCGACTCCCGACTGGCAGTGCAGGACATGGAATCGTCGTCGGACGACGAGTACGCTGATCCAGTCGACGCGCCGACCCCCCGCTGAGACCGTGGTGAAGGACAAAGTTAACATGTACGTGGAGCTCTCTGTGAAAGTTAACATGTACGTGGAGCTTTCTGTGAAAATTGGCAAAAATAAAGGGTTTCACCCCCTGCAACGGTGGAAGGAACACGTGAGTTTTTTGTTTACGGTGTGCTCAGAAATTCATGTTTTTAATCAAAGTCGGCCAAACCAACATATCTCTACGGCATGTTATTCTAGGAGAAAGACTTTCCGATTCAAAGTCGTGTAGTGAGATTGATTTTAGCGACACCCGCGTCGAGTGCTGCGAGTATTTTCACATACCTTGAACCGCAGCTCGCCCACAGGAGGTTTGGCATACGGCACTCCAAAGAAGGCAGCGTACTGTTTGCCGTTTCCAGTTATATCCGGCTTGCAGGACCCGACTAGCGAGCCTTCTTCAACGGTAATCACGGGGTCCGGGCAGACAAATGGCGGCCGATCCCTATTGAGATCCTCACATTTACAGTATGGATCTCTAAAAGAAAAACTTTATGTCAGAAAAATTATACGATTCATAGCTCTGGCAAGCGGGAGTAGGGCCATCCATAGAGCTGTACTGAAAAGCGCCTAGTAGCGTTGCGATACTATAAGTAAACTAGGCCTTCACTTTGAAAGACTGTCTATCCTACATGAAAATGTACAGCGTATCAATAGCGAGATCAATAGGGTATTTCAATGGAGCGCCGCCCGGAACTAAGAAGAACAAAAATAGATACAGAGAGCGGTGGTGGGGGCGGGTGCGCCGAGGAGCGGGAAGCGGGCGGGGAGGCTTCCGTACACCCGCCGCTCCTCAGAGCGCCCACCACCACCACCGCTCTCTGTATCCGGTTTTGTTCTTCTTAGTTCCGGGCGGCGCTCCATTGAAATACCCTATTGTATGGCAACCATATTCTCCATCTCTTTTTTCCTATTGTCCGACAGTTATACGACAATAGGGTGTTCCAATAGAGCGCGGAGCGGTAGTATAGGAAGAACAAAAACAGAAGTTGGAAAGGCGGCGGCGCCGTCCCCCTCCCCCCTACTGGGCGGAGTGAGGGTGCGCCCAGGCCCAGTGAGAGAGGCGGGGAGGAGTGCAGGAGCCTTTCCACCTTCCGTTTTTCTTCTTCTTACTTCCGCTCCGTGCTCCATTGAGATACCCTATTCGGTGCTGCAAGGGATTCCTACCCGACTACTACCTGCACCCGCACCGCTCGACGTGCATAATGTTGGCCATCCCAACATTTGTTAGCCAACCCAACAGAAAAAAAAGGGAAAGTTGGCCAAAAAAAAAAAAAAAAAACACTCAAAAAATAAAAATGAGGGTACCGCTAGATTCGTCTTGATGAGTACTATCCATTTCAGGTGTCGGATGAATTTTAACCGGCAGCATTGGGGCCTGAATGGCTAATAAACCCCAAAAAGAGTAATTTGGTTAAAAATCGCTGCCAACAACCGAATCTTGCCGGTTAAAATTGAAATGAGGGTACCGCTGGATTCGTCTGGGTGAGTACTATCCATTTCAGGTGTCGGATGAATTTTAACCGGCAGCATTGGGGCCTAAATGGCTTATAAACCCCAAAAAAGTGTAATTTGGTGAAAAACCGCTGTCAACAACCGACCCCTTCTCTGCGAAGAACGAGCTAATTCAACGCGATAACTGGTTGGGTCAAATTCTTGAAATGGAGAAGAACTAAGAATTGTTTCGGCGTACTTGATGAAAACTCCACAATTAACAGAATCACCTTGAGTCTGGAATTCCATATCCACTACGCGAAGACGAAGTTCGACATTCTCCTGAAATGTGGTGTTGTAAAACTTTATGTATTTCTTAAAAGACCAAAGCATTTTCTTTGCTTGGTCGGGAGAGATGCCAGAGATGGGTCGATATAGCTGAAACTTCCTTCAGCAGTGTTTACAACAGCCAAAGACCAATGTTGTGGTGTATGAACAGGAAGGATAATTAGCTTGTATTTCAAGGTGGAATCTCTATTGACGGACATATCTTCACGCAATTCTTCGAAAAATATATGTTTGCCAGTGGTGTGGTAGCCGATGTATGTGTTTCGGTTCCCATACTTTTCTTCGAGAGGTGAAAAGCAAGCGTCAACAACATCAGAAGACAAAGCTAAAGTCTGCAAGAGCTTAGCGAATGCAGTGAAATAAAGAGGACTATCATCATTATAGGTAAGGAATCCTCATCAGGATTCCCATCTACAATCTGCTCTACCAGGACCTGATCTTCAACATTGAGCTTGCACAGAAGTGGAAACGTATTTTGTGGACTGAGGTGAAGAAACCGTTTGTAATGACTGTGTTGGAAGTTTTTAAAAGGTGTGTGGCAGGTTTCAGATTCGATTTGTAACCAAATCTCAGCCTGTGATTTTGCAAGTGACAGAGATCTTTTTCTATTAGCATTGCTGATGTTTTTTTTCTTATACTTTGGAGGACTGTGCCAATTCTCTTCATTTTCATCACTCAACACCATGGTGTCCCTTTTGCCCTTGCTTTCAGGTACTTTACTATGAGCTGTCTCCTCCCTCATAACGCGCTTGCAAGGAATATTTTTGCCTTCTCTAAGTAAGAGTTTTTTCCTTGGACTACCCCATTTTTCAACCTCGGCTGATTCAGATGACAAAGAAAACCCTGTGTTCTTGGGGCATTTACCAGATGGAAACAAATCTTGCAGTATGTTGGCTTTTGCTTGGGAGTTACCTGATTTTTGACCAAGCGCTGGTTTATCTGAACCTGTGTGTCTCTTCATTGACTTCAAGAGCTCCTCTTTTTGCTGTTTCTTTTTGTGGGATTTTGCTATTGGTGATGAGGTTGTTTTCTACCTTCCGAAGTTGCCTCTTTACATGTATTCGTTCAATTTTTACATACCTACCAACCTTGTTAAAAGAAATTTTATGAACTGTATTCTTTTTGTCTTTGAAGTGGCTCTCGACATCTGCATTTGTATTTACAGAAGAGGTCGGGTCTCCCCTTTCCTTGGACATCATCCCTGTCCACAGAGGTATTAAAGAAGCATACTTTTTGATAAAGATATTCAAGAACTTTGGGCAAAATGCTTGGCTATCTTCAGACGAAGCAGCTTCTGAGTCACAACTTAATTCATCTTTGACAATCTTAAGCTTCTTCAGGCAGCGTGTTGCAAACGGCGTGTCGGCGAGCTTCTCGTGGCATTTAAAACGGTGCTTCTCAAATTCTTTATCCAGAAGCACCACCTCTGGTAACAGCATTTCCTCTGACCGAGTTCCTAGTCGTAATCGACTTGCAGCGCTCATGACAAAGTTGCCTTTTTTCTTAGACAGAAGAAGAATACAGAATGCTTCGAATTTCACGTCAAAGTTATTTATGTTTTCAGTCTCAATCAATGCTGCTATCCCTTCCAGGACAACATAGTTGGTAGGCTTGCCGATAGAATGGGCTTTGCAATTTCTGGAAGCCATCCCCATCTCCATTATGTGGTTTCTGCAAAGGAACAGGAAAATTAGTGTATCCATATTCTGGTCCGTGCCAGTCCGTAACGTGCCTATACGACAATCGCAGGTAGTCAGTAAGCGATATCCCATTCCATTCAGTGAGAACAGCATTGATAATTGCGAAACTTAAGTCGGTTGTAACTTTTCCAATGCAAGGCCAACTTTCATGAAGGTCTCTTGTTGCAACCCTCCTGAACTCAGCTAAAACCCTCGAAATGGCAAATTGGTCGTGGCAACAACTGATCATTTCGAAAAGAGCCACAACTGTACCGTCACAGTTTACAGTACCGACATAGTTTAGTGCTTGCTTTTCCTGCTTGCGAGGTTTGCGAACAAGGGACCCAGTTGCGTCAACTGAAACTGCCACCCGCCTCCAAAATCGGAAAAAAGAAAGAAGTATCTTAACCTGTTCTTCTTAGAAGAGAATAACATTCAGCGGGTCCCCTACGGATTTCAAAAATATGGACTTCTTTTCTTTAGCATTCAGTCGTTCGTCTGTCATTTGCATCAGAACATCAATGATATCGTTCGCATCAAAATCATTTTCAGCCATACCCTCGGATCGGGCGTTGTGAATTTCGGCGTCAGTTTTCAGGTCTCAAAGGTCACCTTCGTCAAGGTCACCGTCGGAAAGATTTTCAATCTTTTCCATCTGGTACACTAATGTTTTCTTTTCTTTCAGTTCTTTGCGTGCCAACTTTCTTTCTCGGCCGCTGAGAGGTGCTGTGTATCTCTCATTGGCTGGGTGGTTTGTGCGCTCAGCAGAAAAGACAAGGATTTCTGGTGGTGAGTCTTGACGCCGCGTGACTTTAAATTTGAAGTGTTTGCAACCACCACGGCGGCAGTAACCGTACCCAACCATGGTGTGCCCTCGTGAATTAGTACATCGTTCTACGTATGCAGTTTTAATTTTTAAAGAATGTCTTTCCTTAATTGTCCAACACCTTAAGGGGGGTTTAAAGTTTTTAAATTGATTTTTTGTATAAAAATGGATAAATGTAGTTTTTGGCCCCCTAGAGATGGCTATGGTCAAACTTGGTGGAACTTTCATTTCCTTTTGGACACTGAAGTAAGAAACAACAATAGATTGTAGGTATTGAGGTACCTTTTTGGTCCCAGACACTGAAGCGCAGAGAAAAGTTGATTGTTGTACTTAAAAGTTTGCGCGCATGAATTCTCCAGCAATATTGGGTTTAAAAATCTCCCATTAGGTTTTCCTGAATCAGAATCAAAATTACTACAAATTGACACAGGGGTTTTGATATACTATGTAAAACAAAGATTTTTGATAACCATATCACCTCTAATTTTCCTAAAAAAAGTTCATAAACCCTTTTTTCTCAAATAATTTGATAGAAAATTTTTGTTTTACTTATATCAAAAACCCTGTGTCAATTTGTAGTCCTTTTGATTCTGATTCAGGAAAACCTTATGGGAGAGCGGTACCCTCATTTCCATTTCGACCGGCAAGATTCGGTTGTTGGCAGCGGTTTTTCACCAAATTACACTTTTTTGGGGTTTATTAGCCATTTAGGCCCTAATGCTGCCGGTCGAAATCCATCCGACACCTGAGGTGGATAGTACTCACCCAGACGAATCCAGCGGTACTCTCATTTCAATTTTAACCGGCAAGATTCGGTTGTTGGCAGCGGTTTTTCACCAAATTACACTTTTTGGGGGCTTATTAGCCATTTAGGCCCCAATGCTGCCGGTTAAAATTCATCCGACACCTGAAATGGATTGTACTTATCAAGACGAATCCAGCGGTACCCTCATTTTTAAGCGTTTTTTGTCTTTTTGTTGGCCAATTTTTTCTTTTTTTCTTTTATTTTTTGTTGGGTTGGCCAACAAATGTTGGGTTGGCCAACATTATGCACGTATAACAAAAATCCACTCGAAAGTTAGGAACGCCAAAGTCAAATTCAGTGCCCAAAGGTCACCACGCACAAAAGGCATACAGCCTCAGAGCTCAATTGCTGAAGTGACTTCTTCTTTGGTGAGAAAACCCTATCCTTTTTTTTTCGGCCTGTCACCAGGGAAATATGTGAGCACCTACGTACTGATTTCCCTTTCTATTCTACATAATTTTACAATGTTTTAAATGCCCGGGCGTATTGTGAACATATGGAACTTTGTTGCGTTATAGTTCCGAGCTCATTACAGCATTGCGCAGCCCTATCCTGAGCTAATTGCCCTCAACAAGACTGCCGCAACTTTAAAATGAAAATTCCAGTGTTATTTTAAGAGTGTCGGCGTACCTTGTTGTTAGTCTATAAATAGTGTCCTTACTTGGATGCGTAGTAAATGACCAATCCAACTAGAACCGAAACGGCGACCATGACTCCACAGCCAACAGCGACACGACCTTTAAAAAAAAATAGTAGACCTTATAACGTTCTAGTTATTAAACAGACAAACAAACTAACAGGATAAAACTCAGTGGGGTAATGGGCTGTGGTAATCGCTCAGCCAAATAAAGCATTCCGGTAAAGCTCAAATGCAGAAGAATGCGAGGAAAGAGATAACGGAAATCGATATGATTTTACATGGTGCGATTTCCGCAGTCCGTGCGACCATGGCAGTGGGACCCAGACCTTCGACAAGCTGAAATGCAGAAGAATGCAGAGAACAAGAAAACGAAAGTCCCATGTAAAAGCATAGTGATTTCAGTTTTCTTCTTCCTCGCATTCTTCTGCATTTTAGCTTTACCGGAATGCTTTATTCCCATATCGCTACCCTGATTCCTACTCGAGTTATACATACAGACAGACAGACAAACAAACAAACAAAGAAACAAACAGAATAAAACTTTTTCGGTCAGTGGCTCAGCCAACAAACATTTTCGAAAATTGCAACCAACGTTGTATTCTGATTTTACGAGCAGCTTTTAAAATCAGAATACGTCAGTGATTTGCAGTGCAAAATTAACGATTAATAGGGTATTTCAATGGAGCGCTGCCTGGAAGTAAGAAGAATAAAAGCGGATACAGAGAGCGGTGGTGGGGGTGGGCGCGCGCAGGAGCGGCGGGTGGAGGGGAGCCTGAGCCTGTCCGCCCGCCCTCTGCTGCCCCGCGCGCCCACCCCCACCACCGCTCTCTGTATCCGCTTTTGTTCTTCTTACTTCCAGGGAGCGCTTAATAGGGTATTCCAATGGAGCGCGGGGCAGAAGTAAGAAGAACAACAAGCAGAGACTCAGTTTATCAAATGTATTTGATAAATAAAGTATCAACTCGTTCTTTACTTGTGCTAGTATTGTGCATACAGTTAGGTTTAATTAAGTTCACTTTCGGAGTGTGTTCATTATCATAAAATTCCCATCTCTTGATAACCATTTACCGGAGATCAAAAATAATGCAATTTTGTGATGGAAATATTACTATAATTTATTCATTAAAAAAAATTGCAATTTTTAAAACTAGCACCGATTGGAATCTTTAAATCATCCCAAATATGCACGAATTTCTGCTTATTGGATGTAAAAAAAAAAGAAACAATGATCGCGCATGCGCAGAACGCAAATGGCGAGTGATGTAAACAATGCACTCGAAAAGTTTTCCAACTCATTAAATATCCAACTAAAGTAAATTTCAAAGATGCAGATTTTGGAAAATAGTTATCATGAACAAATAATGCAGCAGGAATACTAATTGCGTTATTTCTCAAACCGTAAATCAGTTGTCTTGCAAGTCAAACTATTTTAAAAACCGCCGGCAAACGGATCGTCCCGTGAGGGACTTTTGCTTAGCAATTTGCAAATTTCTCTAAAATTTGCTTTGCAAGTGCAAAAAACTTCTATTATTGATTGGTTACTGAGTCAAGACCTATAATTTGGTTATTTGCAATGAACTGTACGTGCTGTAGTCTCTGAGCTGAAAGTGACCGTACTGAGCACAATACTTGTTCTTCCACCTCCGATAGAAGATGATGATGGGGGTAAAGAACGAGTAAAAACGGAAGCTGGAAAGGCGCCCGCGTCGTCCCCCTCTCCTCTTCTAGACGGAGTGCACCCGGGGAGGAGTGGGGGACAAGCAGGGAGGAGTGCGGGCGCCTCCTCACCTTACGTTTGTGTTCTCCTTACTTCGGCTCGGCGCTCCATTGGAATACCCTATTGAAATACCCTATTCCATTTACAAAATAATTCCTAACGTCGTGAGCTAGATGGGGCGGCCCATCCGCTTTATTACTTTTTTCGACCATGAATCAATAATTTATTGTTACAATGCGAGGTGAACAGGTGACGGGTCTCCTACCTTTCTTTGAGTCCCACATAGCTGCGTTCAGTTGATGCGGACACTGATCGAGAAGAGACACCACGGCGTGACGTTTATCTTGAGAAGTCGTCGGAAGAGCCCAATGGTAGAGGCCTTCTGTTATCTCCCCATGTTCATCAGCTCAGTGTGCAGTTGTTGAGCTATGTCGCACCTACATCCTCTTAAAACGCACGTGCTCGCTCTCACGAGCGCATGCGCTCGGGATGGCTGAACTCTCCAAGTTTCATACAGTAACGCCCTCCTTAAACCACGAAGAAAAGTGAGTGTGTGTGTGGAAAGTAATTGGTTACTAGTACACTTAGGCCATATACCCGCAAATCAATGACCGACTTAATATTTTCTTGTTGCGCACCCTGCTAAACACCGGAAGTAAAATGTACAGCAAGCAACGCTTCACGAAACAGGTTTCGTGGTATTTCATTAACCTATTTTCGTTTTACATTTTTCTCTCTTAGCCGTAATAAGGTGCTCCAGGCTCTCTAAAACAGAAGTGAAAACGAACAAACTCACTGATTTATCTGTTTCCGTCCGCCCAGTATGAGAAACTACCATAGTAGTTTGGTCCGATCCTAACCTCTCAAATATGCACTGTTAAAAAAATTGCTGTAAATTTACAGCGAAAATGTGATTAATTTTGTTAGCAGTATATACTGTATTTTTACAGGCCTTACTGTAAAAAAGCAGCGTTAATGAAAATGTCGGAAACGAAGTTTCCGACCAAAAGCAGTTACTTTGTTTTGCTCCTGTAAAAAAAAAAATGTAATAATACGAGTGTCCTGTTTTGGAACGAAATGAGCTGCTAACAAAATTAACTTCTCTTTTCTTGTAAATGTACAGCAAAGTAATACGTAGTAGTTTTTGTTGTGGGCCACTATGGGCCGAATATCACAAGTTTCGAGAGTGTTCAAATGAAAACAACATATCTGTTACATTACAGGAGTGTCAATCAGGCAGTAAGTCGTTAGGTGACAGTTATTTTTAACAGTGTGGAGTGGAGCTCGAAACTAATCTAAAAGTTTCTCATGCCTGACAAGCCTCGGAGGCACGTGATTAGCTCGACCAATCAGAGCCATTACGAAAACAGGAAGGTCAGTGAGTTTGTTCTTTTCCTACTTCCGTTTTAGATTGACTGGAACACCCTACTCGTCGAGCCAGGACTAAGGTACACACTTAAAAATTAAATCAGAAAATTCAGATGACTTTGACTAAAGCAAAATTCACACTTAGGTCTTAAACCTCACTAGATATAACTCTGGAATACAATTTCAGGCACCTAGTCCTAGTCGCTTCAAGAGCTCGAAAAACATCGAAAAACCTTATATCTAGGCCATTAATGGCCAATTTTTCGGCCCCTGGAAGACAGGCAACCCTTCCAAGAGGTTCGACGGGGGCGGTTTCCCACAGAGGGATGTCATGTGAACACGGGGAGCCTTAAGTTGTCGAAATCAAGCTAGATTTGGCGATTTAGAGCAGTTTGCTCGTTTTTTAGCCCGCACTTCTGCTTTGAAAAAGCTATCCAGCGGGCTTATGCAAACGACCTCGTGTGTGTCTGTGTGTCTGTCTGTCCCACTAGAAGGAGATGTGCTAGAGACTTGAAATTTTCAGGGTATCTTAAGGTCCACTCCTAGAGAACGAAACGCCCACGGCAAATCCTGGCAACCACCCCTAAGGGTGTGAATGGGGGTATCCAAGGTTCAAAAATTCTCCCGAAAAGTAATATTTTTTTATGTTCCCCTATTGGCCAATTTTTAGCTTATTTTCGTCAAAAAAAGACCCTCTAGCGCCTAAACGGTTAGAGATAGATCAAAACACTGTTACGCTGCGACGCGCCTGGCATACATCTACCTTGGCCTGCGGCGCTGACACCCGAGTCAGGTAGTGCAAAAATGTGCAGAAAGATACGGGCCTCCGGCCCGTCAACGCCCGTCACTTCGACTAATCATGCAGGGTTGTACATTTTTACGCTTATTTTCGTCAAAAACACCCTCTGGCGCCTCAACGGTTTGAGCAAAACGGACAAAATTTTCGACCACAGGGCTCTACTTTGATGAGTTACCCCTTAGGACATAGGACACCATAAAAAAAATATTTTTAAAAAACGTCATTTTTGGGACCTGTTGTTTTCGATTTTTTAAAAATCCAATTTTTGAGCTAGAATGCCCATCTTCGAACTCGATCTGTCTTTTTATGATACAAAACGACCCTGAAAATCCCAGGTCGCTCGCTCAATTCGTTTTCGAGTTTTCGTGCGGACAGATACACAGACAGACAGAAAAAGTTTTTTCCGACCAGACGGAGTAATAGGCTTCGCTAATCGCTCAGCCAATGACCGTGACTTTAGGTTTGAACCTTAAATTTCTGATTTGGAAGTTGAAACGAGCAATCTCTGGAGATAGGTGGGCTTTATGGTTGTTAGCTAGGCAATAGTTCACAAATAACTATTCTATCAAAATGACGAACCAAATATCTGACAAGAGAGGCACTTCTTTAACACTAGAACTACCGGGATTTTCGTATACACCCTCTCGAAGCTGGCTCGCTCGAAGCTAAAATTTTGAGACGGACCCTGCTTAAGGATGGGGGTTACAACCTGGCGAGCTCGCGCGAGCTCGGGCGACAAAGCATTTACAACCGCCTGATGCCCGAGTCCGCGCCAATACAATAGGTTCGCAACATGTGGCTAACTTTCGGGTCGTCGTCTCGAAGCTGAAATCCGGTCCCAATAGGGTGTTCCAGGCAATGTAAAACGGAAGTAGGAAAAGAACAAACTCACTGACCTCTGTGTTTCCGTAATGGCTCTGATTGGTCGAGCTTATCACGTGCCTCCGAGGCCTTTCAGGTATGAGAAACTGTCAGATCAGTTTCGAGCTCCCCTCCATATTTTAGAGGTTAGGATCGGACCAAACTGCCATGGTTGTTTCTCATACTGGGCGGACGGAAACAGATAAATCAGTGTGTTTGTTCTTTTTCACTTCCGTTTTAGATAGCCTGGAACACCCTATTTGCCAGGTTCGAGAGGGACTTTACTGTACCTAGATCTACCGGAGGGGTCATTTTGACCCCTAGGTACTATTCCGCCGTTTCAGCTATTAAAAGACTGCGGTTTTGGGTACACAACTTCTTATTTTCGATTTTCTTGACACTTGATGCTTTTTTAGCCCGCTCTTTTGCTTAAAAGCTAAATAAGCGGGCTTATGCCATCGCCTCTGTGTCTGTCTGTCTGTCTGTCCGTCTGTCCGTTCTCCAAGAAGGACGTGATCTTGAGGTCTGAAATTTTCAGGGTATTATTGTTGTCACTTCTGGTCAACGAAACGGTTGGTGCAAATCCTGGCAACCACCCCTGAGTGGGTCTGAGGGGATAACAAAGAAATAGGGGTTGGTTCAAGAAGTGGAAAACAAATATTTTTTTTATTGTCTCCTAAGGGGTAACTCGTCAAAGTAGAGCCCTTTGGGCTAAAATTTCGTCCGTTTGGCTCTATCTCTCACCGTTTAGGCGCTAGAGGGAGTTTTTCTGACAAAAGTGGCCCAAAAACAATATATTAAGCTTAGAAAATATTCGATGGTTTCCTAAAGGGGTAACTTGTGAAAATAGAGCCCTGTGGGTTAAAATTTCGTCCGTTTGGCTCTATCTCTCACCGTTTAGGCGATAGAGGGAGATTCTCTCACCAAAATGGCCAAAACAGAAATATTTTTATTTTTTCAGAAGTACACTTCTGTCTGAGAAGTATGCGGCCGGTTCAAAATTTTCTTCTAAGCAGAAGAGTGGGCTTATTTTATGGTGGCACATCATTAATAAAACGTGTACACTTTCATGCAAAAAAAAACAAATTTAGTTTTTTGTTGTTTGAACACGTTCGGTGTCATTCAGAGTATGCCTGGAAGTATATTTAACTTCTAGGTCTAGTCTTATGTACATTTTCATAGGTGTGATATTGGATTCATAAGCTAACATCAATAACTTAAAATTTCGGCATAACTTGCATGTATTCTACAAACTGCGGCACACACAGCCAAAGATGTTCAGCGTATGAAAAGAATACTTCGTTTGTTGAGTTTTACTTACGAAGTAGACAGAAAAGGTACCTGGCAAAAAGATGGTTCGAAGCGAGCCGTCATTCGAACGGGCATAGAAGATGTATTACACCGTAAAAATTCAGAAGGGACGGGCCGAAGGCCCGTCCCAAACGCCGCCGGCAGGCCAAGCTGGGCCCGCTCCCTGCCGAACCGAGTTGCCGGTGGAGCGAAGCGGAGCTGGCAACTTGGTTTGGCGGAAGAGCGGGCCCAGCTTGTTTGGACCTACGGGGATCCCTGTGTGGGGGTGGGTAGGCAACCCGCAATGCACGAAATGTAATTTTTCAGAAGTTTTACAGATTTTTACGCAAGTTTTCGTTTTGTTTCGGGTAAACTGAGTCAAATACAATAATTTTCAACATTTTAGCACAGCCTGTGTAAATTTCAGCCTGACCAACAACCGTAAATACCGCAAATACGGTAAGTAGTTCTGAAACTTTGGTTCTGCGAATAGAATAGTACACTGAAAACAGCGCAATAACGCATGTTATCACTACATGATAACGTTGTGCACATTCCAGTTTTTGTGGAACATTTTGTAAACGAGGTCTGAGATTTAGTTTTCCAAAGCTCCATCGGGTTTCTCGCGAAATTTTCGATCCAGCAAGCCCATATGTGATAGGGTTCGGAGTTCAACTAACAATACGGTATAAGACGTGCTCTTAGAGAACCTTTGTTCAAAACCCTATCACATGTAGGCTCGTTTGGTCGGAAATTTTACGGGTTATTAAATTTCAGCGCTCGTTTAGAAAATATTCCACAAAAACTGAAATGTGCACCGCGTTATCATCTAGTGATAACATGCGTTATTACGCTGTTTTCAGTGATATACAAATATCATGCAATAACAGTCGTAATAGACCGTTTATTAACATTTTTAACCTTTGTTCGGCCATGGAACGCGTTTGCAGGTCGACAGAACCGTTGCGAATGCCTCATAAGTATTATGTAAGGAAAACATGATTTTGTGATGTGCGGGTTGCCTACCGATACT